TTTTCTTCTCTGCCTTAGCTAACAGAAAAACTCCAGTCCTCCATCTTTGTAGTACCCTTCTCTTGTCTTTAAAAGACCTCCATCTTTTCTTATTTCTGTCTTGTCTCCAAAACCCCATTCTCTTTTCCATACCACACCTGACCCCTTACATTAATGAAACCCATTTTTGCTTTCACATGTACTGGCCCATTGCCCAAAATAACTTACTTTCTTTCCCTCTTTCTTTCTTTCTTTCTTTTTTAAGATTTTATTTATTTATTTATTTGACAACAAGAGACACAGCGAGAGAGGGAACACAGCAGAGAGAGTGGGAGAGGGAAAAGCAGGCTCCTCACAGAGCAGGGAGCCCAATGCGAGACTCAATCCCAGGACCCTGGGATCATGACTTGAGCTGAAGGCAGACGCTTAACAACTGAGTCACCCAGGCATCCCCCAAAAGAACTTTCTAAGACAAGAGAATATTCTATTTCTCTCTGGCTAATAGAGTAGCCACTGATCACACACGGCTACAGAAGCATGCGGCTAGTGCAACTGAGGAAGTATATTTTAAATTTTATTTGGTTTTAGCTCATTTTCAATAGCCATTGTGGTGAGTAGGTACCTCACTCAGTTCTCTTGTCCCCTCTGCCTTGCCACCACCAGCCCCTGCTGCTGCCTTTTCCCTCTTCCTCTTCCCACACTGCCCCCAGAGCCAATCTCTTCTTTAAAGCTGTCCCTTATTCCTGGTTTATGTGGAAGACTCACTCCATGTGATCACCTGGGCTCAGTGCCTGTAGCCAGAAGCCTGCTCTTCCCTCTATGTTGACCCTGAACAACGCAAATCGGAAAAACTGTCACCTTCTTCTGGCAGGCTGGTCTAACATTCTGGGCCACAGAGACTGAGATCTCTGTGGTTTGACACTCACACTTACTTCTCTTGGTACTCCCCATGGTTTCACTTACTAGCTGCTCCTCCAGACCCTACAGTGCCCACTGCAGGAACACTCCTCTGCAGCCCAGGCTAGGCCAACCCAGTCTACGTTCTAGCCACATCACCAGCCCTGCCAGGACCTTCGGAAACTGGCCCCACCCCCATCAGCCTGGGAAAGATTTAGGAGAATTTAGGTAGCCCCAGAGATAACTCAAACAAAACAAAACAAAACAAAACAAAACAAAACAAAAACACATCTAGAACTTACCACCAGTGAAAGATTGTCCTGAGGATTGGAAGGACAGGAGATGATGTGTATAGCAGAAGCTCTGGAAACCATGAACCAAGGAAAGACCCCTAGCCCTTCATCCTGGGCTTGAGCTCAGGGACAGACCCGTGCTCAGAAGCACTGCCACATAAAAAGACCAGCCTGATTACTGTCAAGCCATTTCTGAATCTGTTAAAATGTATAATCAGAGGGCATGCAGGTAAGGGGACCCACACTGCTGGTTTTTCCTGGTGGGTGCCCTAGAAGGATTCAGCCAACAGTAGCTATACTTGCAGAAAATGACTTCTTGGTCATGACTTGGACAAACATTATAGACGTCCATCTCCACACAAATGGGAATGGATTCTTTGAAGGCGGCTTTTTACTCATCTCCATGTGCTAAGCGGTTGGCCAAAGTACCGTAGCCAGAGTTGTTTGCCAGCAATTATAACCCCTACGGAGGAAGGAAGGTGTACCAAGGGCATACACAAAGGGCCGAAGGTCTGACTCTCAAACATCTGCAGAGGCGGCATCCCAGCTGCCCGCGAGAACTAAACATACTCAGTCACAACCATGGAGAAGACCCAGAACAAAGAACTAGTGGGGACAAAGGGTAGGTTGCTAACAAGAGGAAAGATAGTCTCTCCCTGAAGCAGCTCATGGGATACTATGGAAGTGTGATTACCTTCCTTCTGCGTAGGTTTATTTGTATGTGAAGCTGACCACATATATATATAAATACACATACTCGGAGGCAGACAGTCGGTTTAGTTCTTTCTGCTGCTGCTATTGTGTGTGTGTATGTGTGTGTGTGTGTGTGTGTGTGTGTGTGTGTGTACATGCAGTGTGAGTATATGTCTGTGAGTATTTAATGACTGTAATGCCATTTTGAAAACTTAGTATGTCTGACTTTCATTCCAGCAGCATTGTGTTTAGGGTTGAATAGCAACTTCAACAAAATCCAGACAGTCAGCTCCTGCTAGGGGAATTAGGGTTTATGTTCAGTATAATAAATGATCCCAAGATAAATATATTCTTTTTTTTTTAAATGCTGGATGGCGATGTATCCTCTTTCCAATACAGAGATGGGGGAGTCTAGCTCTATTTAGTTTGTCTGATTGCTTTTAAGAAGGGGGACAGGTTGGCTCTGAAAAACTATGGTCCACTATTCATTAAAGTGTCAATAATGCTCAGCCCAGGCATATCGACAGTGGATTAGCTTGGGCTGAGTCTGTGTACAAGACCAGTGCCTTTTTTAACCTAGCTTGTTTCCAGATCAATACACCCATCAGCATTCGAAAATTAGCCCAAGATGAGATTCCAATACTTGAGGTGGCGTGTCATGCTAAGAGGCCACCTAGCCAAGTCACAGATGTAAACACCTAGCTGGGGATTAGACATTTTCCATTAGCTTGGACATGAGCGAAGATTGATGTAGACCTCCTCGCCGCGTCCCTCCCAGGTCTCTACCCCCACATGCACTCCGCTTCCCCTCTGGAGGCTGTGTAAGACCTCTGGACTATAATTCCAGCCATTTGCTTCAATAAGCATTTATTAAATGTGCACTTTGGATCAGGCACTCTCCCAGGTACTTAGGGCAGGAATGTGTGGGTGTGTAGGTGTGTGTGTTGGGAGGGGAGGGCTTAAAGAAAAAAAAAAAAAAAAGACAAAAACATGGTCCTTATTTTCAGGGAAGTTTCAGCATTTTCCACTATTTCTTCCATATTCCAGTTCCAGAAAGTTCCTGCTTGCTAAAGTGAATGTCGTACTAGTGTGTGTTTGTTAACTTTTCTTTGTCAGTGCAGGTTATCGTGCTCTCAATAGTAAGTATGTGCAGGTCAGGGTGTGAAGGGAGCATGGGGGATGGCTTCAGAAGCACCCCCTCGTAGAGAATACAGATGGTGCCACTGGAACGGTCGCCAGACCTCCTCATCAGATGTGGCCCTCAAATTATGTTTCAGTTAACTATCCATCATAAAAAAGGTATTGACCAAAAAAAAAAAAGTTATTGACCAATTGATTGATTTTTTAAATTTTTTTTAAGTAGGCCCCATGCTTAGCATGGAGCCCAAGGAGGGGCCTGAACTCACAACGCTGAGATTAAGACCTAAGCTGAGATCGAGAGTCGGAAGCTTAACTGACCAAGCCACCCAAGCCCCCCCAAAAATGTATTTTACATAAAAAACATACACACCCTGAAACAAAAGTCTTAGAGAATGATACTTATTTTGCTGTTTGTAATATGGTGATACCTTCCATGCAATTTCATCTCCTTTAAAAAATTTTGTTTGCATCCAGCAGTTTGAAAAATGTTCATTTATAGAACGAATTAATAGGAAAAGTCATAATTTCCATTCAGAGGAGTGAGAAAAAGAAATAAGAACCACATGGTGTGGCCAAGCTCTGGCCCAGCACTGAGGGGCACAGACGTCCCTGTGGTCCCTGCTTAGAGCCAAGGCCACAGTTCTCTTGCTGTGCTGAGTCTCATCCCCACTCACCTTGCCTGCCTTTCCCCAGCACATGTCCAAACCTGGGATGTACATTCTCTTCCCTCCTCCCAGCTCACGTTCCCGAATTCCTCTAGCTCCTTTGCATTCTTCCTTCTCCAGCCACTTTCCTGCCCTTGTTTCTCTAGCCAAGCATCTGACAATCCCTTCCCCTTTCTTTGGGTGCTCTGACAAGGAGTGGTGGCTGAAGGAGCCTCTGCTGGAGGAGCTTCTGGCCCTAGATGCCCATCAGCTGGATGAAGGGAACTAGGGATCAGGCTGGGAAATAGACCCCAGCAGAAAAGGCAGGCTCCACTACTCTGAGCCTAAGCTTCTGAGATAATAAAATGAGCTAGTGGTCCATTGTAAAAGAATTTTAAAAAGCTAAAAAGTAGTATCAGTATTTAAAAAAATATTGGTGGTTAACATGTATACAGCTCTATAGGTGCCAGACCCACTTCTAAGTATCAGATAAAATTTAGCAAGCTCATCACATCAGTGACTCTGTTTTACAGAAGGAAACCCTGAAGCCTAGTCAGTAAGTTGATTCAGGTCTCACAGCCCAAAAGCGACCAAGTCTCATTCTGGCCCTATGTCCACCATGGTAAAGTATTATGTGAATCTCCTGGGGTCAGTTCTTCTTTGTGGGGAACAGGCGAGCACCACACCCAGGGCCTGAGAAACAGGGAGAGGGCAGAACCCAGGGAGATGCAAAACCAAACCCAGTACATAGGCCTCAAAAGCTGGGGGTGAGGGGTGCAGAAAGAGGGGGCAGGAACCCGGGGTGCCAGCAAACATGGAGAATCAGACACAGGTTATTAAAAGGGAGAAACCCAGGGCTGAGAGATGAGAGACTCGAGCAAGCAGGAGACAGTGGGGGTGGCTGTTAAGGGCATGTCCCAGGTGGGCGTTTAGAGCATCTGTGACGGGTTCTGCTTTCTTTGAAGCCTGTGGGAGGATATGGCGTGTGTGTAGTGCCAGAAGAGCTAAAACACAGATCTTAAAATAAAGCAAGCTTAGAACTGGATAGAACCTAAAAAAAAAAAAAAAAAAAAAAAAAATCTAAAGAGAAAAAAGCCAAGGAAAGCAATAATTAGAAGATAATTTTCTGAGAAAATATATTATTGGAACAAAAACAAAAAAGAAAATCCTAGTTCTATTCAACAGGAAAACTTATGTCAAAATTCAGCTTCAAATGGCCGAATGACAATTAGTTGTCCTGTTGTCCTGTCCAGATGGAAGAAACAGAACTCATCTCTGCCGGGGATCACAGAAAAAGTGTTGGACATGGGTTCTCCCAGCCACTGCACAGACCGTCCAGCCAAACCCCACCTACCTTGCACAATGAGGTGGACCCTGGAGGTCTTTGGGTGGTTGTCTGTCTGCACAGAGCAGGTATACGGGCCCTCGTCATATACATCCACGTTCTGGATCTCGATGCTGTACTGGGTTTGGGTGTTGCTCAGGAGGACCACACGTGGGTCTAGGCACCATTTGTCATTCCCAGCGTAGAGGATGGTGCTACGGTTTAGCCAGGCCACCCGGGTGACCCGGTTATCAATTGTGCACCTGGAGGGAAAAACAGACGGGTGAGTCCAGGCACTGGAAAGGAAGTGGGGGCAATCAGAGTCAGGTCTTCTTAGCAATGCTAGGATGACTTTTCCACGCCCTGTCTTCACCCGTCCACCCCTACCCCCAGTATACACACACAACATTCCCTGTCTTAGTGTTACGAGTGGCACTTTCTGGAAATGGGCAGCAGAGACCTTGTGCGATTATAGCCTCAGAACACTGGCTGTCTGAGTCTTCTGGGTCCTGAGAAGTTCAGCACTGAGCACTGAAAACCAGCTGAGCAAAGTACTAATTCCCTAGTCATAACTATTTGGTAGTTACAATTGGAGGCATCTTCCATACTCAGAATGGCTAGACCTTCGGGGAACCATCAGCTCTCCCTTTGCACAAGGATTCCCATGCTGTAGGTATTTTGGGAGTACTAAGTCATCCAGTACTTATAACAACCCTATGAGCAAGGTTCTGTTGGTAAAAGGAACAGAAGAACAAAGAAACTAAATATTTCTCCCAAGCCACAGAGATAATATGTGCTAGATCAGAGAGACCCAGATTTTAACTACTAAACATTATCTCAGAATAGCGGATTCTAACAGAAGGCTTCTGAAGTCAAAACTAAATATGGACCACCACCATTGCTATTTATCTTCATTATACCCAGGGGCAGAAATGTTCAATTACTGCGAGACTAAAGGCATTTTCCAAAATCTCAAAACTGTTTGCACGTATAAAAATAGATTTCGTCTTTTTTATTTTTGCATCTGGAGTCCCCAAATTGTGGAAGCTCCCTTCTCTTTCCTTACATTTTCAAATCTCCCAGCTTCTCTCGCCAAGTCCTAATCACATCTCTCTGTCTGTATTCATTTCCCTCTCTCAGTACACCAAGTATGTTCTATGGCCTTAGGGGAAATTCACAAACACAGTGTCCTGATCCTAACTACAATGCTGGAAATAGCAATGTAGCTCAGTATGTATAATGATACCTCAAATTTATATATTCCTTTGCAGTGTACAAAATACTTTTATATCCACACCGTTTCTTTTGATTCTTGCAGCCAATCTGTGAAGTAGATTATCCTACCCATTCTCCACTTTAAAGAGCAGGACTCCACCATTTGGAATGGTCTGAGGAATAGGCCAGGTTAGAGAGCTGGGAAGTGACAGACATCTCAGCCAGGACATCTGGCTGATTCCTGGACCTGTGTGCTCCTCAGAATGTGCAAAGGGAGAATTTTCACTGGGGAGGGACACTTGTCCCTGCTGAATTCTCAAAATGGTCTGTGACCATAAAAAACCTAAGACCTGCTGCTGAGCACACCAGCTTCCCCGGGTGGTCCCTCTTGAGATGAGATTTCCTGTACCGCACCTTTTTTCCGCTTATACTTCTGTAAATGTCACAGGATCACTGCAGGGCCACTCAGGCACACGTGGGGAGCCTTGCTGAGAATGCCTGTAGGGAACGCTGCTCCACCAGAAACACCTTTGCTCTGGTGTCCCGCAAGTTCTGTGCTATTCATTGTGTTTCCCGAACAATGCGGGATGGAAATGACTTCACTAGGAAAAGATCAAGGGAATGGGCCACTTGCATCAGAATCGCATGAAGGGTTTATTACAGGGGTTTTAGTCTCACCTCCTATCCTACTGATTCAGTCTTTGGGTATCCGGAAATACGAATTTCTAACAATACCCCAGTTGGGTCATAGACCTACCAAAGTTTGAAAAACACTGGCGCAGAGTTGTGTGTCTGAGATCAGCTACATAATTTGGGGGGCTCAGTATAAAATGAAAAGGCAGAGCTCATTTCAAGATACTGAGAGCAGAGCACTTAACCATGTGCAGGGTCCTTCTGAGTGCAGAGTCTGTGTGAATAATACCTGAGTGAACATACCCTGAGTAGATCTTGGACTTTATCATGCTTACAGTGATTCTTGGGAATCTTAGTACAATGCATGTCGTGATTTGATAAGTCTGGCATGGGTCCTGAGAGTCCACACTTTCAGTAAGCTTTCAAGTGACGCCAGTGCTGCTGGCTCTAGACCATTCCTTAGGTAGCATAAATCTTGAGTATGAAACATATGAACATTAGGGTGGGGAAGCACTGAGCTAGCAGCTCACCATGTAGAAGTGTGGTCAGAAAACCAGCAGATCACCATCCCATGGGAGCCTGGTAGAAATGCAGAAACTCTGGCCCTACCTCATATGCAATGAATTAGAATATTCATTTTAATAAGATCTCTAGATAACTAGAATACACGTGAAGTTTGGGCTGGTCTAGAACACATTTCAAGATTGCCTCTGGCTTTGATGACTATACCCAGAAGGCTGTCAGAGTGAATGAGAGGTAGAGAAGTACAGCCAACAGAGGAAGCACGTGATGCCATCCCTTCTCTTAGGTTCCTCACAGACTTCCATGATGTTTGTCATTGCAGGCTGCCTTACCTGGAGTGTGGACTTGGAACCAGAGTGGTTTGAAATTCCTGAAGAACAACACACTCCCCAGCATATTTTACTAGTAACACACCTGAGATGTTATTTTCTTAATTACCTTAAGGATAGCCCCTGCTCTAAATTGTACTTGGCAACTCCTGGATGGCTCAGTCAGCTGAGCGTCCCGCTCTTGATTTCAACTCAGGACATGATCTCAGGGTCCTGAGATCGAGCTCCATGTCAGGCTCTGCTCAGAGCCTGTTTAAGATTCTCTCTCCCTCTCTTTGGCCCCTCCTAGCTCTCCTGCACTCCTTCTCTCCCCGCTCTCCTCTAAAATCAATAAATAAATCCTTGGAAAAATAAATTTTGTTTCGACCCAAGCAGAGAAACTGTGAAAATCATATTCATGACTAATATTTATTGAACACATCTTCTTGTATGCTTGGTACAACACAAGCCTATTACATAGACTATATCTCAAATATGTGGTGGGTTCACTTATTAATGCCAACTTACAGATGGGGTTAAGCCACGTTTAAAAAATATCCAAATTGAAAGAATACTTGAATTGATCAGAATCGCTGTGGTATTAAGCTGCAGAGTCAGGATTCAGGCCCAGTTTTATTTTATTTTGTTTCCAATTCAGTGTTCTTCAAGGTCCTTATAAGCCCTCCCAAATGCCCTCCAAAATTTAAATTCAGGGTGTGTCAGAATTACCTGGAAGCCCTGATAAAGTATGGATTGCTGGCCCTTCCCTGGTCTGGAGACCACATTTTGAAATCCATTAATTTAGACATCTGGTTTCTGATGAAATGAGGGCTGCAGAGTGAGTGGGCACTAGGAAATGACCCTTGTTTGAAATAGTTTTCCATGACTTTGCGGGAGAGAACTTCCTTGTAACCAATAAGTTCTGGGAAGCCAGAGCTGAGGCCCAGCTATTTGCTCCTCCAGCAGCCAAAATGGAACCAGACACCAGGTGAATGGCCAGCTGTGGCATAGGAAATTCTGATCAACAACCTCTACATGGCTTGGATAATTGTTTCTGATGCCCACAGTGGGGGCATCTCAGCCTCCCGACGAATCCGAGAGGACGGTCCTGGGCTTCCTGGGAGTGCCTAATTATTGGAAACTGACTGCGACGACGTCGTCTCACTGCTCTATACCGTGCTTCCAGGGCCAGAGATGTTCATTTGCAGATATGCTAATGCTCCGAACGCAGCCGATTTCCAGCACGGTTATGCGGCTCCTGTGATATACTACACTGAAGAGCTGGCATAGCTTCAGCTGTGGTTTTGGGCACATCCAAGGTCATATTTAGATGTCCAAACTGTCACTGCTGGATATCAGTCTTGCTGAGTCTCCCCGGCATTACTGCCGGCTTCTGCAGAGATGGATCACAAAAGTAACTTGGCAGCCAACTACTGTCACCTTCTCATACCTGTCCCCATCTATCTGTCTCATTTATTGAGTCTCCACAACAATGCAGAGGAGACAATTCTCCCCAGTTTAAAAAAAAAAAAAAAAGGTAAAAGCAAGCACAATTGCTCCCTCAGAATGCCCTGGTTGTTGGGGAGTCAGTAGAAGATTGGGGTAGGAAATTCCATCAACAGGCTCACTGTTTTGCAGAGATGGCCTTCAACATAGTTCTGCAAAATGACTCCTCAAACACGCCATGGTATTTCATGTCTCTCAGGAAGGTAATTGACTGTATGATTAAATGGGAAGTAGGGATCCTTTCAAACTCAACTCTTCCTAATCCAGGCATGTACAGCTGGTGATAGCCACTTATCAGAGGGAAATAGTCATAGGTCAGCAAGGGGATGGAGAGACAGAGTTGAAAGTGCTCTGTCCAAACCTTGGAATCCTCTCAACTTTCTTTCTTTTTTTTTTTTTTTAAGATTTATTTACTTATTTGAGAGAGAGAGACAGAGCAAGCTGGGAGAGGTGCAGAGACAGAAGGAGGGAGAGAGTCTCAAATGGACTCCACAGTGAGTATGGAGCCCAACACGGGGCCCAATCTCATGACCCTGAGATTGTGGTTTGAGCCAAAATCAAGAGTGGAATGCTCAACCAACTGAGCCACTCAGGTGGCCCACCTCTCACTTTTTCCCTGAATCCTTGAGATACACTAAGCACCTAAACCAAGCATCCTCTCCTCCCATACTGCCAGACATACAAAGATAAACAACCTTTGCCGACCTAAGCCTTCTGGATTGAGCTCTGAGACTTCCAACTCCCCAACTCCAAACATCTCTGAACTCTGAAAGCCCTCTGTCCTCCTGCCTCAATACTGCCCTCACTTCCATCCATCAGCCCTCTGGCCAGTGGCCATCAGCCTTGGCCTTTGTGGGAATGGCCTTCTCCTCCCATCAGGAACTCCTCGCACACGTGATCCCCATGGAAAGCCCATGGCCTGACCTATGCAATATCCTGGCAGCATCAAGACAGACAGACAGACAGACAGAGCCTAGTAGAGATGCTTGTTTATCATTTCATTGATGAGCCCAGTGCCCTTCTCAGTCTGCAAGTCCATCTACATTCTGCTCCTTGGAGAAATTTCTTCTTAAAGAGAG